CTTGAGCCCAGGAGTTGGAGGTTGCTGTGAGCTGCGATACCATAGTACTCTTACCCAGGGGGACAGCTTGAGGCTTTGTCTCAAAAAATAAAAAAATAAAAATAATCAGCACATTGTACCCCATAAATGCATTAATGTATACAGTTATGATTTAATAAAAAATTTTTTAAAAACTAATAACTTCTAATATAAGAAATTGCAACCTGACAGAGGGAAAAATAATATTTTTCCCTTGCTTTCCATACTTCTCTGACACAAGAACTCTAATTGTTTTTCTTGCCCAAATATTTGTCTTTATTTCTTTAAAAATATTTTACTTAGGTTTATGAACATTTGTCCAATGCATTACCTTCCTAGGCTGTGCCCTGAAATTTTTTGAAGTTTTATAACATTTTTATTGCAATATATAATTCACAAACCACACAATTCACGAAATGGATACATTGCATACTTTCTGGGTAAAGGACACACCCATAACTTTGACTTAAAATATACAAAAGCAAACTATGTAATTCAAACCTCCATAATATCCTTAAATTAAAAAGTAAAAATATATATTGTTAAAAAAATGCTAACCATCATCTGAGCCTTTGGTGAGTCATAATCTTCTTCCTGGTAGAGGGTCTTGCCCCGTGTTGATCACTGCTGACTGATCAAGGTGGTGGCTGCTAAAGATTAAAGTTGCTGTGGCAATTTCTAAAAATAAAGTGATAACAAAGTTTGCCACAAAAAGTATTGAAATTGGAATTTGATGGATGGCAATTGAATTTTAATAAAAATTTCAATTCATGTGTTTTTCTGTTTTTTTCCTTTTATTAAGTCATATACAAATATATTATGAATACATTTATGCTTTTGTGGAATACAATGTGTTGATTTTTTAATTCAATTTGGAATGGTTACATTAAACTAATTAATATAGCTTTCACCTCATTAACTTAATTATTGTATTAAGACATTTAGGGTGGTGCCCATAGCTCAGTGGGTAGGGCACTGGCCACATGCACTAGGGCTGGTGGGTTCGAACCCAGCCCCAGCCTGCTAAAAACAAAAACAAACAAGAACTCTGTGTTAAGACATTTATGTTCTATACTTGGTAGATTTGACTTGTACCCTTACAGTATGCTCCATAGGTGTGGTCCCACCGTTTACCCTCTCGATATCTAACCTCCCCCTCCCTTCCCATCCCCCTCTACTTCTCTCCTTCATCCTAGGCTATAGTTGTGATCTATCTTTCATAAGAAAATGTGAGTAATAATAAATTGGTTTCATAAAAGTATTGAGTACATTGGATACTTTTTCTTCCATTCTTGAGATACTTTACTAAGAAGAATATTTTCCAGCTCCATCCATGTAAACATAAAGAAAAAATGCTCATCATCTTTAATCATGAGAGAAATGCAAATCAAAACCACCCTGAGGATAGTGCCTGGGGCTCAAAGGAGTAGGGTGCCAGCCCCATATGCTGGAGGTGGCGGGTTCAAACCCAGCCCCAGCCAAAACCTGCAAAAAAAAAAAAAAAACACCTTGAGATACCATCTAACTCCAGTAAGAGTAGCCCACATAACAAAATCCCAAAACTACAGATGTTGGCGTGGATGTGGAGAAAAGGGAACACTTTTACACTGCAGGTGGGAATGCAAGCTAATATGTTCCTTTTGGAAAGAAGTTTGGAGAACACTCAGGAATCTAAAAGTAAACCTGCCATTTGATCCTGCAATTCCTCTACTTGGTATATACCCAGATGATCAAAAATCACTTGGCAACAAAGATATTTGCACCAAATTGTTCATTGCAGCTCAATTCATAATTGCCAAGTCATAGAAGAAGCTCAAAGTGCCCATTGACCCATGAATGGATTAATAAATTGTGGTATATGTATACCATGGAATATTATGCAGCCTTAAAAAAGATGGAGACTTTACCCCTTTTACATTTACATGAATGGAGCTGGAAAATTCATATGTTTTTCAATTTGAAAATCAGTGTAATTTTAATTTGATTTATGTGACATCAGATAAAATCATGAAAGTATTAATTAAATAAATTCCTCCATGGGAAAATTTTAGGTGGAGGAGTTTTTTTGTTTGTTTGCTTTTGGTTTTTTATTGTTGGGGATTCATTGAGGGTAAAAGGAGGTTTTTGGGGTTTTTTTAATTTCAAAATATTAGTGCCAGGCTCAGTGGCTCACGCCTGTAAT